CAAACACATTGCAATTATTAGTAAATGCTGTAATCAATAAACTTTTTGATTCTGGATTGTTGCCTAAAGCTGTGGTTTGCGACCAAGCTACTACAAACCAAAAAGTTTACAAAAGTTTTGGAGTCACAACTAAAAGCCCATTCTTTTTTACCAAAGACAGAAAAATTTTCGCCTTTTTCGATGTACCACACTTAATAAAAAACATACGAAATAATTTTATCACAAACAATTTTATAAATGGTAAAAACGAACTCTCTTTCCAAGATGTTGTGAAAACATATGAGATTGATAAAAAATCAGAATGTAGTAGATCACTGACAAAATTAAAGGACTGTCATATGAATCCAAATTCATTCCAAAAAATGTCAGTAAGGCTTGCCACTCAAATTTTCAGTAACTCGGTTGCTGCTGCTGTTAAAACTTGCAGCAAAACTGGACAATTGAGGAGTGAAACTGCAGATGCGACTGCTGATTTTATATTACTTGTCAACAACATGTTCGATGCGTTGAATAGTAGACGTCAATTTGATGAAAACCCAAATAGACATAGTCTATCGAGAAAGTCAATTTACGTAAGACAAGCAATAGTTAATGGTAAAAATTTATTTGAAAATTTGTATAAAATTTCATATAAAAATAACAAGCTTGGCCAATGTGAAAAAATAATGACCCGCCCACCATGTTTTGATGGAGTTGTTCAATCATGTGAGGCAGTTTTGCAATTATTTCATGAGGAATCAACAGATTCGCCGATGAGATTTTTAATTACTCAAAAATTAAATCAAGACGTCATAGAAAATTTATTTGCACGTTTTAGACAAAAGGGAGGCTCCAACAGAAACCCATCGGCAAAGTTAATACGAATGATATTTAGAAGCTGCTTTCTGAATTCATTAATAAAACTACCAAATTCAACCAATTGTCAAGAAGAAGATGATGATGAATATATCGAGTTAAATGTTGGGCAAACAACAGAGCACAGCACAAATTCAACCGATTGCCAAGAGGAAGATAAAGAATATATCGAGTTAAATGTTGGGCAAACAATAGAGCATAACACAAACGCCAGTTCTTCTAACAGTGCGACGACAATGCAAACAAAATACGACGAAGAAATTTCTTCTGGCGTTACATTAGAAGAATGTTCTATTACGTACTTTGCAGGATATCTTGCCAAATCTTGTCTGTCAAAAAATAAATGTAATGAGTGTCACCAAAATTTATTAAAAGAAGTTGATCTTGAGGATAAAAAACAATTATTGATTTTAAACAAGTCTTACAATTTTAATAAAAGTATTAAATTAAAAATGCCGAGTGACTGTCTTGTCAATCTTGTCACCTTGTCACTGGATTGTTACAACAGGCAAATTGGTGACATTATTCACTGTAATAATATAAAATCACAACTGTTTAAAGCAATAGTTGATTTTCTGAGGTGTGAAGCTCAGGAATTATTAGATATAAGTTGTCAGGAACATCTGTATTTTATAATTGATCTAATGATTTCTGTCAAGATACATTTTTATTGTAAAAGCAGAAAAACAAATGTATCTGTTCATCCACCAAAATTAAGAATATTAAAAAATATGTAGTTTTTGAAAATATGTTGTTTTATTAATTAGATTGTTGACTGACTTATTCGTACATGTTGATACTAAGAATTATTGGGTTATCTTAGTTTCCACATCAGCTTATCGTAGTCCACTGCTGAGCATAGGCCTCTCCCGATGGGCGCCGTTTGGTAATAACTAAAGTAATAACTAGAAAAACAAAAGTAAGTAATAACTAGAAAACTACTTTGTTTATTCTAATGCCATTTAGACATATTGATAGTTTAGCTCATTGACTTTAAGTCAATGGTTTAGCTTAAAATTTTTCAATGTTATTGGGTGTAATGAGCGAGAAAAAACAATGACTACGGTAATTTTAGGCTGAGAACACCGAACGTAAGATTGGCCGAAATAATATTTTTTAAATTTTATTTGTATTTCCAAGGAGTATGAAATCGCAGACTTAGAATCGCAGATATTGCATTGGTTCCAAAGGGTCATATCGGAACGCCACCGCAAACGGATGACAATTAGACTTCCTTTAGGCTAACTATATAGCACATATTTTTATAGATACTTCCAGGTATTCTTTAATTCTGTTTAGTATTAGCGCCATCTAACCATATTCGCAAGCGTTACGTTATTAATTAGTTAACAACGAACAATGCCATCTATTGATACGCATAAAAATCGAAATTCAGAAAATAATTTTAGTTTATTATTAAATATTTGAAAAACCTTGCAAGAAAAAAAGAATAACTACTGATATTTCATATAAAAGAGGAATTATCGATATTCACGGCCATTTACGTAAATATAAACTAATTCCAGGCTATCGATCAGCGCCATCTAGAAATAAGACCGCATTTTGACCTTTTTCAGAGCTACGATTTTTAATATGGAGATTAGCAGTCCTCTTGAGTTATTGGTCCATGGTTTTAGTAACCAAATAAAACAATTACGACAATTCATTACTTTTTTATTGACCCTTGAACAGTATTAACTTAGTATACATATTTCGAACTTTTTCTTGTTTGCCGATAACTTTTTTTACAGTGTAGTGCATCCGTAAAAGGTGGGATGACGGTGTAAGGAGGTCACATCGTCAGACACTCAAAACCAACTGACAATTATTTATTTGAAACCAGTGAATCCACATGTAAGGTAACAAAATAACAAGCGTTGAGAAAAGAATACTGAAAAAGTATTGAAAAGTAAAAAAAAATCAATATTTAAAATGACCCATAAACTGGGGAAAAGATAGTGGCAAAAGCACGGTATCCCTAAAATCAGCTTAAGACTGTCTAATTTAATTTATACGTTATTAATTTGATCTCTCTTTCATCATACCTTTTATCATACCATTGCTGGTAGAAGCGAGATGGACATATTTGACAAAAGTAAGATATTCTCCTTATTTTAGGAATTTTATACGATGCAAACAAAAATCTTTCAATGAAGAAAAACACTTCAAATATCATCTAAAATACATGAAATCGTAATATTCCAGGCTTGTAAGAGTATTTCACTAGTAATTCACACAAGAAAATTCATTGATTGTAATGAAAAATTAAAACTTACGTGTGAAAGGTCATGTTGGGAATTCTTTGTTACGTACGGCTTTTACAGCCTAAAATATAACAATGCATCATTATTGTGAGCTGCAATAATTGTCAATTACTACAAAGGCACGGTTAGTAACTTTGTAAATCACTTCTTAAAAGCACAAACACATAAAATCGATGCACATCAAACACTCGGAAGGATTTGCTGGACTCAACGGCGTTGAGTCATATACAACCAAAGGGACAAAAAATAATATTGTTTTCTCGTTTAC